AAATAAGACGCTATCTGAAGCAGCATCATACATAAAATAGGGATGTGGAATTTGAGAAGCATGAGTCAAGGGAAGCTAGACATAGTAAAAATAGAAATGCAACACATGAACTTAGCAGTACTGGGGGTGAATGAATTAAAATGGACAGGAATGGGCCACTTTGTTTTAGACAACTACACAGTGTTCTACTCAGGGAATGAAAAGATGCAAAGAAATGGGGTGGCTTTCATACTAAGAAAAGATGTGGCAAAAGCAGTCAGAGGATACAATGCAAAATCAGATCCAATTAATTCAATGAGGCTCCACAGAAGACCTATGAACATCACCATAATTCAAGTATATGCACCCATCACAGAGGCAGAACAGGAAGAAATTAAAACATTCTATGACAGCACACCAACACAGAATGCCAAGCTGATTATTGGAGATTGGAACACAAAAGTTAAAAGCAAAGAAGAATAAAAAATAGTAGGCAGATTCAGATTAGGTAAAAGAAATGAATCAAGGGAGTGTCTGATAGATTTTTGTGAAGGCAAAAACCTATTCATTGCTAATACATTTTTCATACAACCAGAAAGAAGGCTATACACATGGACAAGACCAAATGGTCCACACAAAAACCAAATAGAATATATAATTGGAAGTAAGAGATGGCGAAGCTCCATACTGGTAAGCCAAGAATAGACCAGGCCCTGACTGTGGCACAGATCATGAATTACTCATATCAAAAATAAAAGTAAAACTTAATAAGAAAACAAACCAGTCATAATACCAAAATGAGATCTATATAATATCTAAACAGAATTTAGTGACAATATAAGGAACAGATTTGCAGTACTTAGTATAATAGACCAAGAACCAGAAGAGCTATGGTGTGAAGCCAGGACATAATAAAAGACAAATGCAGACAGACATTTTCAAGAGCCAAAAAGAAAGAGAAGAAACCATGGATGACAGGTAAAACTCTACAAGTAATAAAAGAAAGAAGGGAAGAAATACAAAAAGGGAATAGGAACAAACTAAGAACCATGAATGCAACAGTACAACGGATAGTATGAAAAGATAAAGAAAACTACTACAATGGCCAGTGCAGAGGGAACAAGAGACCTATTCCACAAGATCCGGGAAATCAAAGGAAATCAAATCAAGGACTGGGAGGTTTTATGACAATAAAAATAAAATAATTCAAGACAGGAATAAAAAGATGTTGGATGCAATACACAAAAGAACTATATAAAAGAGATAACAAAATGACAGACATACGGGATGAACTGTCATATGAAGATGAACCCCAAATTCTAAAAGGTGAGGTGGAAGCTGCAATAAGAGAAATGGCGAAAAACGTATCACCAAGAACATATGATATTCCAGTTGAACTGCTGCAATCCACATTGACAGAGTCAGCTCTAGTGCTAATCAAACATATGTCAACAGATATGGAAAACAAAACGATGGCCAACAGATTGGAAATGATCAATATACATTCACATCCACACAAAAAAGGAGATACAAAGGGCTGCAGCAACTATAGGACCATAGCACTGATCTCCCTTGCAAGCAAAATTATGCCCTAAATTCTGCAATATAGAATACATGGAGAGAGAAATCTCAGAAGTCCAAGTGGGGTTCAGGAAAGGAAGTGGCACTAGGGATCACATTTCAAACATACGATGGCTAAAGGAGTGCACCAGTGAATTCCAAAAGAAAAACAGGCTTGGACACAGAAGAAGGAGAAGTGAAGATAGGAGGAAGGAATATCAACAATCTAAGATATGCAGATCACAGCACAATACTAGCAGAAAACCTTCCAGACCTAGAACAACTACTAAGAAAGGTCAAGAAGAAAGTGCAAAGGTGGACCTATTGCTGAACATAAAGAAAACAAAAATAATGACATGGAGAATCTTGACAAATTCAGCCTAGACAATGAAGAAATAGAAATGGTAAAAGAGTTCTAATACCTGGGATGAAACATTGATAGAAATAGGGAATGTAGCCAGGAAATCAGAAGATTAAGAATGGGAAGAGTGGCTATGAAAGAACTAGAAAAGATTCTAAAATGCAAAGATATACAAGTAAACACAAAAATGAGAACCGTACAAGCCATTGTATTCGCTGTTACCATGTATGGATGTGAAAGCTGGAAAGTTAAGAAAGATGATAGGAAGACAATCAACTCCTTTGAGATGTGGTGCTGGAGAAGAGTGCTGAGGACAGCCAAAAAGACAAATGTATGGGTCCTGGAGGAGATCAAGCCAGAGATATCCCTGGAAGCCAAGATGATAAAACTGAGACTGTAGTACTTTGGGCACATCATGAGAAGGGAGAACTCACTGGAAAAAACAATAATGCTAGGAAAGGGGGAGGGAACTAGAAAGAGAGGAAGGCCACATACTAGATGGATGGACTCTATTAAGGAGACCATGGATATGAGTTTACAGGACCTAAGTAGAGAGGTGGAGGACAGGGAGTCTTGGAGATGTCTCATCCACTGGGTCACCATGGGTTGAGATCCACTTGAGTGCACTTAACAATAACAACAACAACAACAGCAGCAGCAGCAACAACAATGAATTACAGAATTGAGAGGAATTACAAAGATATCTGGCCCATTCCTTTGCCATGCAAGAATTACACAACTAACCCCCCCCCCCTGAAATATGTCTATCCAACCTCTGTTTAAAGATCTCTAAAGATCTTCTCTAAGGCAATCTATTCCACTTTCTATTAGATGCTTAGAAACATAATCCTGTCCAAGTTACTTTCTCAAATAGGAACTTATGGAAACTAGTGAATTTTGTAAGAAAGTGGACTTAGAACAGTGAAGTTAGATATAACTTTTCTGAGATTGTCTCCTGCTGAAATTGTCATTAGCTGGCTCCCATTCCCTTTCCTAACAAGCAATAGCCTTAGGCATATACACCTTGAACTGCATATCACCTAACCATTAATCGGCCTGACTGTGTTGCAGTAACTTACATTATTAGGTGAACCCAGGACTGATTGAGATACTCTGGTGATCTTGATGAGTACAGTCTAGTTCTCATGGCACTTTTCTTAACTACATAATCACTGTGTGTATTTACATTTTCCTATTTGTCATTTTAATTAAAGAGGATGAAAGGATTTGGTTGTGGAGGGCAGGATCAGGAATTTAGACCCAAGAGAATAAATGGGTTCTGTTACTGAGATGACATTTAGGGGGTGTAGCACAGCCACTATTATTTTATTTTATTTTATTGTTTGGTTATATTTTCTCATTTGTTAATAGAATGGATGTGACACTGCCTGGTAGATGTATTTTTATTTTAAAGAATTGTTTGTTTTAGCTCTTCAAGATTCTTGGGTAAAATAAAAATTGAAGATGAACATTTACAGTGGCACTTTTTTCTCTTTCTCTTTCTCTTTCTCTTCTTTTTGTGGTCCAGCATTCATATTGTCAGATGCCTGGAATATCTGCTTTGCTGGACTATGACTCCTTGAATCCCACAGTTGACCTAGCCACTGTCTATGCTGGTTGGAAGATTCTGAGATCTGTAGTTCAGCAAACTAACTTTTCCAAACTCTGCTTGATGCTCTGGTAGGCCACAAATGCATTACAAAATACTATAATTGTGTGGTATGGTTTTTCAACTATAGTGAGATGTACTGTATTTTTATTTAAAATTGACTAATTAAATGTTGAAATTAGTATCCGTGCATATAAATTAGCATATGCAAATATTTATGCTAAGCTATCTATTTTTCTGTTTTTTTCTCTCTTACACGCATGCGCACATACACACATTGTTTTTCACTCTGTTTTGGGAGGTGCTACATTTCCTCTTTTTGCTGAAATAGAAGTGACCACTCTTCTATCAAGCCAATATAATTTATACTCCTATATTAGTTAGATATAATTTTGGATCTTCAGGATATTGTCTCAGTTATTCGAGTAAATGTTACATTGTGTAGCAGCTCTGCCATTCCTTTGAAGTTCATCTGGGTGGTTGAGTGGCTTCCAAAGTCTCACAAAACTGAACTGCTTACAAAGTTGTGTTCAGCTAGCAAATTATCTGAGTGCATGTTTATCTTTATGCACATTAGAACCAACTTAGGGAGAAATTCACTGGAGGGATCACTTGAGAGCTGAAATGGGTGCTAACTTCTGGGACAATCTATTTTACAACCCCAAAATGAATCAGTTACTCTATGAAGTCAGCCATAGATCTATTCCTATGTACTGGCTGTGGTACAGTCAATACAACATTTTTAATCACCTCCTCTGAAGCAGGGAATTGAAATACTGGTATATCAACTCATATTGACTTAGCATATCAACTGAAAGTTTACAAAAAGCATGAGAGCCATTGTGGCTTAGGTCTCTGAGACAGCATACCCTCCAAATCAGGAG